TGCATACATACATGCATACATACATACATACACACATACATACATTAATTACAGTACACACATTACAATACATACATTACAATACATACATTACAATACAGTACAATACATACATTGCAGCACATACATTACAGTACATACATTACGATACATACATTACAATACATACATTACAGTACATACATTACAATACATACATTACATTACAATACATACATACCAATACATACATACCAATACATACATACCAATACATACATACCAATACATACATACCAATACATACATACCAATACATACTTACTTACATTTACTTTACTTTACTTTACATTACATTACATACATATATAATATACAAAACACATATACAACACACACACACTGCGTGTATATACGCACACGTATATGCACCTTCAAACATGCCATAATGAACGCATATAAACGTTGAACAAACAAATGAAGAACCCGATGTTTGAACTGCTCTTCTGGAACAGTTTCTCTTAGCCTTGAATTCTGTTTGCGTAGCAATTGTGGTGCCTGTGCACATAGCTGGGGATTTGGCTATATCCAGAGGTTTCAGGTTTCAAGCTTTTGATCCTCACTTTTTCTTCCAAAAACAACGTGTTGATTTGGGGGTCACGATTGTTTTGGGCTCCACTTGTCCTGTGGTCTGAGTGTACATCGCCCATCTTCCTTGGTGTCCCTTGTCTTGTACTGGAACAAATCAGCCACTGCTGTGATTCAGGATCCATATGAGACTCTGGGAGTTTCTGCAAATGCTACCCTGCAAGAGATTAGAAGAGCGCAACTTTGACAGCATTGAAATACTTTGACAACATTGTTGTATTGTGATGCGTGTTGAAACTTGGTTCATTTGCTGCATTGCACTTGAATTCAGGTACATTCGGCTGGCCAAAGAGACACATCCAGATACTGGCGGCGATGCTGTGATTTTTCAAGATGTGCTGCTGGCCTATCGCATTCTCAGTGACGAAGAACGACGCAAAGCGTTTGATGACACTGGTTCAGACTCTGGCGATTCCACTGAAGAGGAACGGAAAGTGAGACTTCCAGACCTTCAAACTCTGCGCTCCGCTGTGGAGAATCACAGGCGCTTTGGGCACCTTGTCCCATCTCAATGTCCTCTTTGTGCTTTGCATCGCCTTGGAGCAGATATGTGATAGCATGTGATTGCCATTAATTAATGTCCCATATGTGTAGTCAACTGTCACTATGATGGAAAGTGTTGAATTGATTTTCTTGGCAGGGAGTTGCAGTGGGAGCGGGATATGTCCAGCTTGGCCGGGCAAGTGGGCACTGTTCAGTTTGATGATCCAGAATATGGCATCACAGCCAAGACCTAAGCGCCTGTTTTGAGTTTCAAGTGCCAGCATAGCAATCAGCTGCATTCGACATGGTAAGGGTCTCAGAGTCGATCTGTGTGTCGTGACCCAGGAAGTCATCGTATGGGTGTCGCCCGATGAGGGCTTCTCTGCTTGGCTGCCAACCAGTGTGCTGACCTACTTGAATCCTGACGGCGACGAGCAGCCGTACGAGTTTTACCAGCGAGCCCTTGTGCGGATGAACAAGGGCGCGTGACTTGACTCCAAAACGACAGTGCCCTGCAACTTGGACCATGCACAACCATGCATGACCATGGACGACCATGCATGACCATGGACGACCATGCATGACCATGGACGACCATGCATGACCATGCTAGAGATTGCAGCCCTTCACTGCATGCCAAAAATAAAGACCTGCTGAGGGCTTGATCTAGAATCAAGCAGTGGGATGTCCTGAGATTTGCTAATTATTCAAATTTTGGCTCGGCCTCTTGTTGCAGGTTGTTTCGACCAGAGACCTTCGAAAAGCAGATGACGCGCACAATTCAATACAGCTTGGGCTGGGCAGCCGTGGACAGCGGGGCACTGATGAAGCCTGATCCGTCCCATGCATGACATCTTAGTTCCAACATATCCCTAGAGCGCTCCCCATGCCAGTTCAACAGGATCATGTAATCTACATCGTGTGTACATACATATAAATATATATATATACATAAATACAGTACATGCATAAGATGTATATATAATTAGATATATAACTAAATTGATCAACAATCAAATAATTATATAAATACGATCTGCATACATACGTAATCCTCAATGATTTAAAATGTCGGGTACTTTTGCGGGTGTGCTTCAGGGATCTGTTGAAAGGTTTGCTCTGATTCGAATCTCCTTAAAGCCGCTCGTGGTGAGTGACTTGAATGGCAGCCTCCAAGGTTGCGTGATGCTGCTTTTGCGCAGGCAGGATGAGTTTTGCAAGCCATGGGACAAAATGACATATGCACACTGGAATTTCTCTCTGGGCCTCTTCCTGAGAGGTTCGTGACAGTTGGAGTGGTGCAACCGAAAAGCGGTTTTGGGATGTTTTGGGTGGTTTAATTTAGGGTGATCAGACTCAGGTATTCTTCAAGAAGGATCGTGAGGGAGAAGACTCTGGTGTTGTGCTTGATATTGGTTGTGGTCATGGCAGCAGCAGCAGACTTTTTGCGACGCTTTACTGGATGTAGTCGCTTCAGAAAAGAACTTCGGCGGCTTGGGACCTTGTCCCTTGCTGGAGAATAACTGAGCACACTGCGCCAGCAGCCAAGGAACTCCAGAAAATTTGACTTGGTGTTTGGTGTCCTTGCTTGCAGTTCAGTGTTGTTGTGGCATGTTGTGGCATGTTGTGGCATAGGTGGTACTTGCCATCTGTGAGACTCTGCAGCATGGTTTTCTCCTGGGGCGGACGCCAAAGGCTTGGATCTCAATTCCACAGCCCTGTACCATGCTAGGATGGACCCTTGGATGCGCCTTACGGGAAACAGATTGAACCAGGAAAACCAGGAAACATTTGTGCTGTTATTTTCTCTTAGAGGTTTGCTGACATTGGCACTGCTCACAAGTACATTGAGTACTGCCTACCTTATGACATGGTTCAGCTGCAGGAGAGTGAAGATGAGCAAATTGGTCCTGAGCAGGGCTTATTTCTCCTGCGGGCAGATGCTCGAGACCTTCCTTTCCGTGAGCAGCAGATTGACTATGTTGCTCGGGATGTGGAAAGAGACAGGGCTTTGTGAACACGGTTCTGAAATGTTCTGAAAGACTCATTCTTTATCTTTCTTCGCACTTATGTAGTACAATATAGATCGGTTGGAGTTGTGAAGCTCCGTTCTCACCACTGTTGATAGGTTTGGTGGTCGTTTGGCTGGGAGGAAGTTGAGCATCCCGAAATCGTCCTTGAAGGCAGGGCCTGCAGCTGCGACGATGCTCTGACTTCAGACATTCGAAGTTTTGCTTTGCGAGGTATTCACCGCATTCTGAAGGTGGGTGGGAGGCCTCCGTGCACTGAGTTGTTGTCTACCTTGAGTGTGGAATTCCAACGTGGTCCTGACAGGTTGGCTATTGCAACTTCATCTGGGAAACCTTTGGCCAAGGACACAGAACATGAGAGACAGCAACCCTTACTAAACACATGTAAAATGATGTAAAATGTAAACAGAGTCACCAAGCACAAGCTTCTAAGTGACCTCTCATGATTGGTAGAGACATTGATTATCATTGATTCAGGACATCATGGCGAAGATGGCAGCGCTTGGGTTTTCAGATCCTTGGGTTGCAGGCCATTGACAGACAGTGCCAGCTTTCCAGACTACTTGAAGTTTGCCTCGGTGGTGGATGGGATAGGCAGAATGCGAGACTGAAGACGGGTGATTCCTGCTGGGACATATGAGCGAAGGGGTCCTGCTCAAAGACATCATTCAAACTTGTCGTCTTGGAGAGGGTCTGACAAAGCCCGGCAATATTGTGTCACCCAACTGAGGAGACAAGCATCTATCCACCTCGCTCCAAAGTCTTCCTGAATTATGCGCCACAGCTGCAAAGAGACGCAACGGAGAACGCCCAGTTTCGTATTTTTTCCGATTTCCATGACTTTTGTTGCATCCTGAGCATTTCTGAGGGTACCAAGACCCTGCAACAGTGACCAACGTGCACTTTCTCTCGCCTCCTTGCCACTGTAATCCATCCACGCCGATTTCCTGAACTCCGAATTGTTGGTCGTGAAGCTGAAGGTGAATCCTCAAAACGTATCACCGGATATCACCTTCAAAGATCAGACGAAAGGCTGCGTCCAAAGGAGGCAGCCAAGCCCACAAGAGAAATGAGCGATGGACAGTGGGAGGTGCACCAAGCAAAGCCAGCTGTTAGCCGAGCATCCACTGAGATTGGCTGTGCCATGATGATCGATGTGTCTTGTCTTAGGCCTGAACGCTGTGTTGGTGGTGGAGCTTCTGCAGGCATGGCGCAAGGTTCAACCGCTTTGTTTTTGACGTAGCCCTCAACCGACGTTTTACTCCTCCTCTTGGGCACGGCTATCGCCTGTCATCTCTTGTATCCCCTCAATGTGATCCCATCTTGTCTTAATCATCTTGAACTCCCCGAGCTTTTGTTTAGCAACCCTCGAAAATAAAGATGGCCCGTACAAGGGCACGTTTTCTTTTTTGGGTGAGCTGAAGATAATATTGTTATGGTATTGGCCCACATTTTTACTGGTATGTGTTAATATTCTGTCCGCCACACTGACTGAGTGGACGAGTTTGGTCAGTTTGTTTTGAAAGTTTTTCGAGGCCGGCTGTGCAAATGCCTCGCGATCATTGTCACTTGATCGGGGCCCAAGCATGGGGACGATCATGAAAGATCAAGATCGTTACAGCAAGCTACAGCAAGTTACAGCTAGTTGACGAGTTCTTTCGGGAGGCTGTCAACACCCAGTGCAGTTGGGTGTATCTCCCCGGCTCAAGCCATCCAGGACAGTCTGAGTGGTTGGCTCTGCTTTTGTGAGACGCTTCAATTGCATCCTCAATCTTACGTTTGTTGTGGTTGCAGCACCTATTTCAGTCAGTTGTAGAAGAGTCCGAGCGAGTTGCAGTTTGACCACATGTATATATTTCCCGGACAAGGAATAGTAACATATAGTAACCGTATATATTCCACATTATTCCGAGAACAAAACCATCCAAAACCTGCTGTCTTAAGCAGACTTTCTGCCTGGCACTTCGTGATGGCTGCACCAGTCTGGATGAAGGGAGCTGGGAAGGGGACCCCTTGCCGATTTGGCAACCGATGCACCCGTCCAGACTGTTGGTGCATCCACCTGCCCCCAAAAGAATGTAGGAGCAAAGAATTTTCACAGGGAGTCAGTCCACCAGCACCACTCTCTTGCTGCGACTTAGGCCCTGGTTTCACTGCAACTGCTTGGGCAGCTTTATTCATTGAGGCCTCGAGTGCAAGATCAAGATACAATACCAGTACTGGTACCCCGAAGCAGTCCTACATGTGATTCGTTTGGACCTTTATCATGATGAAGAGGTGCTTCGTGGTGCTATGCTGTGGCGATCCTGGATATTGCGGTTGCCCTACTGTTCAGTCATTTCATTTTGAGTACTCAGCGGCCTGAATACTGCCGCCACTGCTTGCCTAAGGCAAAGTTTTCACTCCAGGGCAGATGTTTCAAGCTGAGCTCTCCGATGTCACACCATGGCCCATGTCATCCATTTTATCATATTTTATCGCATACCTACACAAATCTACACAAAAGCAGTCTTAATGTGGTCTTGATTGTCGGCTGACGCTGTTTGAGACTCACTGGACTTCCAGCTTGTCAAAGGCAAACAGGCTGCAACAGCGTTACCGGGACGAGCAACGTTCCAGAGCGGCTGGCAGGCTTCCCCCGTGAGTGCCCCTTGTAGTTCATCGAGTACGAGATGTTTCAAGACGTTTTTAATGTTTCAATATGTTTGCCATGGTGAACCACTGAGATCCTGCGATATCCTGAGAGCTCCAGGTATGTCGAGATCGCCACCTCTGAAGCAGTTGAATTGGACCCTGGAGGCTGCTGATGACAAGCTTGTTGCCAGATGAAAGATTGGCTCATGAAGATTTGAACAACTTGTTCCAATTCCTACTCGTTTAGGCTTTCTATATCCATTCAGATTCTATAAGTCAATTTGTCACTGAATAGGCTATGAAGAGGTATACACAGTGCCGATGCACTGGATGCAAAATCTCCCAAGCCCTTCCGCTCTCAACTTCGCTGGTTCTTCTTATGGCAATGGAAATGCTTTTTGTCTGCGGGGGCCGTCTGAGCTTAGCGGCCGAGAAGCGACGCAGCTGAAGATGTGGGATTTGGAGACCGCCTGCCACAACGCATGCCTTCTTGAAGGCTCTGTACAAGGAGCCTTAGGAGAACTTTGGTTTCATCAATCTCGCTTGCGCAATGTCGGCAACCGATGCAATCGCCATGATGCTCTCCAACGTGCCCGTGGATATCTGATTAGCCGCCTCGAGAATGCAGGGAAGGAAGTAGCTGATGATGAAATAGCGTGGCTGCACACTTGGTTGAACCGCGTTCTTGATGCTCAGAACGATTGGGTAGCTTGTCGGTCATGGGCAGAAAAGTGTATTGCAAGAGGTGTTCTTTGGGAACACCCTTACCAACGTCCGGGGCATTTCGTACCTGGTTTGAAGTCACAGCCCTGGCACTGCGCTAGCCACTTTGAACTTTGCTGGAGGTTGGAATCATCATATGAGAGCATTAAAGCAGAGCTGCTTGCCCTTCTGGGTATCTCTTGGGGCCGTGTTGGTGAAAGAGCAACCCACGACGGAGGACTAATCTCCGCGGGCGAGTGGCATGAAGTTGTCCTTTTGGGCGACTCCGAGGAGTGCTTTGCGAATCGCCAGCGCTGCCCCGCGACAAGTACCGCTCTGGCATCCAGGCCTGAAGCTGTAGAATGCGCCCGCCTCGGAGTGGGCGAAGCCTTGTTTTCATTGCTCAAACCGCGGACGAAGCTGCGGACGCATTGCGGGCCAACCAACATTCGTCTCACCTGCCATTTGGGATTGATTATACCGGAAGGTTGCCACATTACAGCAGGAGACCAGGCACCAAGAACATGGAAGGAGGGGAAGTGTCTTGTTTTCGATGATTCTTTTGAGCACTCAGTTGAGAACAATTCAGACCAAAACCGCATCATCCTCTTGGTGAACTTCTGGCATCCTGGAATCTCCCCAACTGAGTGGCCTGCCCGAGCATCCCGAGCTTCAGGTACAGCATGACTTTGTCAAAGGCTTCATGGCTTCATCGATGGCATGTGAAAGGTGCGAGGAGATATGAGATCTTCAGGTCGAACGTGTCCAAGGTGTCCAAGGTGTCCAACGCGTAGACATCCAGACATGCAGAGTGCGTTTGCGGGTCGTTCGACGGAAAGGTATGCATAGTGAAAATAGTGAAATGCTTGAATGATGTTGAATGATGTTGAATGGCGGCAAGTTGAAAAGAGCGCCTGAGCAAAACAGCTTTTTCTGGTGGCACTGAGGACCTGTGGCCTTAAAAATTGAGAAGTCCAACTTTATTATGGGCTATAGGACTATAGGATATCAGGATATCACGGTATTCTTTTGCTCTACACCTGGCCAGGCTGGCAAAAAGAGGCTTGTGTAATTTGTGGGCGGCTGCGAGCGGCCCGTTGCAAGCATTGCAGGCTAGTGCTTCAGTCGCCAAACTTTCGAAGCGAGAGCCAGATCTGATTTTGTCACAATTTGTCACATGCTTCGAATTGATTCAAAGACATTCAAAGCAAGGGTTGCAATGTGTGTCCTTCAAGTGCAGGCATTGTGGACGATGTGTTGCCAGATTTGATCATCATTGTCCATGGCTTGGGAATTGAAGCTCGGCGGCACATTCCATGCCACACGGTGCAATTCCATTTTCAACCCTTATATATATACACCTTTCGCTTTTCTGTGAATTTGTGTGGCCCTGCAGCACTATGTTTCATTGAGTCGTTTCTGCTCTTGGCAATGAAAGGCATTGGGGGTCGCAATCTGTGCTTCCCTCAGTTGCCTTTCCCTTGCAGCATTCTTCAACATTCTGGGTGACCAAGTAGTTGAACATTTTGCAGCCATCAGATGCCAAACCGCCTGGAGGATTTGCATGTTGCCAAGGTCAATGTTTTTGAGGCCGCACGGATGCCAGGCCTGACTGGCGAGTGATGATGTCGGCCTCAGTTGCTGCATGCAGGTTCCTAATGTCCACATTGCTGCCGCCACCTCAGCAACGCACTATCCACATTCAAGAAAGCGGATCCTGCTGTGACTTGGATGAGGTCCTTGCTTCTGGCTTTGAGGCTCATTTGGCAGATTTCTGAGGCTGGCTATATGCCAAATGTGTCAGTGGGCTCATGGGCAATCAGCTTGTTGGGATGAAGTCAGAGCTCAATTGTCAGGAATGTCTTTTATCCTGGCTTGTGGCAGCCTCAGCATTTCCCCCGCGTTGATCACTGATGGTAACTGATGCCAGGAGGTTTCATTGATTCTCACAGACATCGGCTTCGCAAACAGAGTAGGAGAGTAGGAAGATGATGGAAGATATTGGAAGATGTAGAAAGCCAGTGCAGCAAGGTCTCAGCACTCCTGTTGCTGGACTGCATCCTGGCGGCTTGGATTTAGCTCCCGTGTTCCACCCCTTTGTGTTAAGTGTAACGCATCAAGATGCAGGGATGGCGTGGCTACTGTGGCTACTGAAAAGTGGGTGTGGGACATGTTGTGATGCAAATTTGATTCCGTTGGAATTGGTTGGTGCAGATGGAGAGAGGAGTCCTTTCGTATTTCGAGGTCCTTTTTGTTGGCTGCGTATTCTTGCAGCATGTTGGGGGCTGAAGCCCCTGCAGATTCGAAGGGAAAATGTGAAGTGAAGACAGAGAAGTGTAGAAAGTCACCTCCAAACGTGTTGCCTTAGACATCCTTCAATCACTAGGGTTCGTTTGTTTCCGTCACTTTCTAGAGGGCCCGCCCTCAGCTTTATTGTGCGCGGATGTGCACGGTCTTGACCTGAGCAGCCATTGAGGTTTTGCTAGCCGCTGCAGACTTGACAGGGTGGGCATATGAGCGCATATTATGCGTTATATTATGATATATTATGCGCATCTGCGTTTCGCGTTGATGCTGTCGCTTGCCGACTTCAACAGTCTTCAAGAAAACTGGACAGGTATGAAGACTCCAAAGCGGAGGATGCAGAACACTTGTGTCGGAAGCTTCGCAGATTGCGGGCATGAGGCTCAGCATGGGCGTTTCTGGAGGGTAAAGGAGCATGCTTCGCGCCGGCCCACCATGTCCCACTTTCATGCACATGCTTTACTTAGTTCCGGGCCCTGTTGTCCAACTTTGCTGGAGCCTTTTCGCTGCAGATGCAGGTGTGGAGGGGCTTGGTGGTTTGTGATGGCTGTTATTGGCTGTTGCATGTCAGCAAAATGATTTGAATGAAAAGGTGCATTACAGGATTGCGGTGCATGGTTTCGGATGGTTTCGGGGTGATATGGCACTGGACCTGTCAGGCTGACTTGCAAGCTGACTTGGAAGTCCGTGCCCTCAGTTGTAGAATGGTAGAAGAATAGAAGAAGATGAAGAGGTCTATTTGGGTTCCAGCATCTCACATATTCTCCCAACCTCCTTCTGATCCTAAGAGACAGGAAGAAAAAGGACGAAAAATGAAGGAACAGGATGGAAAAAGGTGTGATGGGCAAAAGCATGACATGAAGCAGCAGTCAGACCCGGAGTTGCAGATGGTTTCATTGCTGCCACAATTGGCACAAGCCAAGGCATATTTTCCGGGATATCCAGAAGAAAGCTTCGTGGTACAAAAATTGCGGATTGGTGCTCCAGTTGGCAGCCAAATCCTCCAATTCTTCTTTGCTGTTCGGCTTTTTAAATCTTTGCTGTTCGGCTTTTTAAATCTCTCTCTCTCTCTATATATATATAACTATATAATTATATATGTATATATATATTTATCTTATCTTATATATATAGTTATCGATATAGTTCATTCCCCTGTCAAATCATTGCAGATAGTGCCCCCCCAAAACCAGAAGATCCACTACATTCCGCTGCCATTTGTTTGTTCATGTTCGTAGCTTAGACTCTGCAGGAAGGGTAGGAAGAAGCGTAGGAGGAAGTATAGGATAGATTGACCCCTTCGCGACGCAGTGGTCTGGATGAAAGGCAACGCTCTCGATGTGAAACATAGTAACACAATGAAACATTGTCAGAAAACGTTTTGCAATCAGTAGCCAGCCCGGTAGGCCAGCGGGGAACAGCTGCTTACGGCACTGGTCGGGGAGCTGCGTGCCAAGCTCAGCTTCCGACATTCTTCACATCGATTGATGGTGGACGGTGGTTGACCGCAGTTGACCGTTATGGCTGAGGCCCTTGATCCCACCTGCTGCAGGCTTCAAGGCAAAGCCGGACGAAAGAAGATATCAGAAGGGGCCCAGAACGGGACCTGGGAGCAGTTGAGAACCAGCAGTGAGAGATAAGTCTATCAGTGACTCTTCACCTTTGAATAATTTTGAATATGATGTCGGTTCGAGCGCCTGCAGGGCGTGACCCCTGTGCCCACAGCCAGCCAGAAATGGCAGCAGCAACAACAGCAGCAGTCCTGGCAGCAGGCGCCCTGATGCCAGAATCAGCGTAGTTTGCGTGATGCAACTCGTGTGTTTCGCAGGATCAGTGGCAGAAGGACAGGCGCACGGTTGCAACCCCCAAATACGTATTACACCACACCACACCATATTATATTATATTATGTTATGTTATATTTATGCGGTAATTTATGCATGCATACCTGCATACATATATATGAACCTGGAATGAAACCCTAAAGAAACTTTAAATGAAACCCAAAAGAAACCCTAAATGAAACCCTAAAGAAACCCTAAATGAAACCCTAGAGAAGCCCTAAAGAAACTCTAAATTGAATCCCTAAATTGAAACCCTAAAGAAACCATAAATGAAACCCTAAAGAAACCCTAAATGAAACCCTAAAGAAACCCTAAATGAAACCCTAAATGAAACCCTAGAGAAACCCTAAAGAAACCCTAAATGAAACCCTAAATGAAACCCTAAATGAAACCCTAGAGAAGCCCTAAAGAAACTCTAAATGAAACCCTAAAGAAACCTTAAATGAGACCCTAAATGAAACCCAAACTGAAACCTTAAAGAAACCATAAGAAACCCTAAATTAAACCCTCAACGAAACCCTAAATGAAACCCTAAACGAAACCCTAAAGAAACCCTAAATGAAACCCTAAAGAAACCCATTTGAACGTTTAGAACTCCTGATAAGAAATCCCGATAAGAGACCCTACATGAAACCGGAAAAACACTAAATGAAACTCTAAAGAAACTCTAGCCCTAAAGAAACCCAACCCTAAACGACACCGTAAAGAAACCCTAAATGAAACCCCAAATGAACCCCTAAAGAAACCCTAAATGAAACCCCAAATGAAGCCGTAAATAAAGCCCTAAATGAAACCTTAAATGAAACCTCAAATGAAAGCCTAAAGAACCCTCAAGAGACCCACATGAACGTTTTGAAGCACCAAAATGTAGCAAATACCATGCAAAAGAGAGGTTGAAATGCCAAAATGTGACAAATACCAGCAAAATGGAAGGCGAACATGGCCAAATGTAGCAAATACCGTGCAAAATGCAAAGTGACCATGCCAAAATGTAGCAAATACCATGCAAAATGACAGGTTCTAGTTCCAAACTGTTGCAAATACAAGGCAAATGGTACCGGGAAAGAAAGCCAAACAAAAATCCAAAACCCGAGGCAAAAAAAAATCCAAAAACTATTCTACACCCCATATATATATTATTATTATTATTATTAGATCTGGAAGGTCCACTGGCCGACCCAGACCAGCATTGCCAAAGCATCCAGTCAACAAAAACAGCAACGACGGAAGCAAAGCCACCAATGGCCGCGCCAAGCAGTTGAGCAAATCTTGGTTTGGTTTACCCGAATCTTTCTTTTTTCTGCGGCATGCGATGTGTGGTCCTGACGTATGGTTGCTTCTGCTACGATTTTCGCGGGAACCTGACCTAGTTATACCATGTTATACCTAGTTTGGTCCCAGGCAAAGGACCGCCAGCCATGCTTCAGCATTTCCCCCTGTTTTCAGGAGGATAGGGGCCCCCCGAGAGTTCTGAACCTGGAGCTAACACAGGACTGAAGTGCTTCCATGGTGAAAGCAGGGGCCTACTTTACACAGAATCTTTCACATGAACTTGTAACGTATGGCACAATCCAGGTGCTAGTGCCCCTTTGGAGTATATAGGCAGTCACAGTGACAGGTGTGTAGAGTTTAGCAGCGCTTAGTCATGATTTTCCCGACATATGCTGCCCATAGCCACCCAGAGTTGCGACGCAGCAGACAAAAATCGTTTGGGAAGGAGTCCCAGCTCACAACGCAGGGCTTTCCTCCAGAGGCCAGCACTACATCATTTTATAATTCTTTATCAGCATCACAATCATCACACTCTTGCCTCACTTGAGCCATCATGCCATCATTTGCTTCAAATTCATCTCGTGCATATCGGTGTCCAAGTGTGTAGGCACCTGCAATTGAACATGACAAGTCTATGACTGTCTTTAGCGCAGTCACTGTCCCAGCGTTCTGGGTTAGACTTCCCAGGATTTGGATGTTGGATTATTGAGATGCACAAAGACTCAAAGAGTTCAAAGTGATCCACCAAGGCGCACTCCATTCTCTCGGAGGTTGTTGGGGATATCAGATCGGGCCTCAGGAGGTATTTTGGATTATTTGGGCATTATTGGGCTACATTACGGTAGGCTGAGACCTTGATTTCCCTTTGAGCATCTGAGGTGCAGAGGTAGAGATTCACCATGACACGGAGCGCTTTGAGATGAAGCTCCATCACCCCCACCTAGCTGTGCATGTCAAGTGTGGCCTTCAGCCCAGCGCAAAGCACTGCAAAGACACTGCAGGAATGGGACATTTTCCCAGAGATTGGTGAAGCTATCCAACGAGCAGGCAACCACTGGCACTGGATCTTCAGATCAGGAACTGCAATATTCGGGCTAACTGCTTACTATTGAAATCTACTGAACATGCAGCTAGCATAGTTACTATACTGGTGGTAAAATTTCGAGCGTTTCTCTGGACTTTCGCAGATTTGAGGTGGCGAGGAGCTATGCTTCAGTCTTCGGCCTAGTCGTTGAGCTGCCTGAGCCTTGGAGTCACCAGGACTTGGAGTCACCAAGACTTGGATCCACCAAGTCTTGGATTCCCCAAGACGTGGAGACTCCATGAGACTCTCACTTGTGACACATGTGTGCAGTCAGAATTGATCGCACATTGATCATTGAACCAAAGCAGCATGAGCCAGGCGTTGTTACCTGTCCGAACCATGGGAAATGGGCTCCGGTCTTAGACGGCTGCAATTTGACCACTCCAATGTCCGACAATGTCCGACACAATCGAAAGAACATCTAATTTGAATCGAAGGATGTTTTTGCCAGTGATGGGCCTTGAGGCAGTTGGCATCGCAGCCGGCAAGAAAGGTTGGGATTGTATTGCTCACCAGCTCACGGCTGAAGCATCGCACAGTGCAGCATGGTAATCACATGTGTATATTATAATTATCAATGCATATGTATATATATATATTATATAAATGGGTGCAATCACATGTAATCAGTATGTAATCATAGAATCACAAGACAAAAGGAGTAGAAGATGTAAAACATTACAAAACCCATGGTAGCAGGATGTTATGGGATGCTAATTACTGGAATGCGGGTTTGTTCCTTGGTTGTGGTGTTTCAATTCAGTCGTCGGAGTCCTCGCCTCCAGGCCGTGAGGTTGCAGGCAAACTTGCCCTCGCCTTTGCGCTACTAGTAGATCGAGGCACAGTGTCCAGAGGAAATGAATCTCCGCTTGAAGGCAAGCGGCAACTTAAAGGCAACTTGGCAGGCTCCTGATCAAAATCATGTTCGTCTCGCCAGATCCCGCTGACTTGGAGAACTTTTGCAAGAATTATGCAGAATTTCGAGTCTGGGCCTGATACAGGATCACAATATCCCATCTCAAGTGACTGCAGACGTAAAGGTTTGGAAGTCTACGGAAGGAAACACATGGAAAAACCACAGAAAACCATCAAAGATATCCAGAGTCAGGCCTTCGGTCCTTCGGCTTTTACACTGTCAATACACCTTTTTCTGCGGGGTGGTGAGCCGCTAAGTCCGTTAAGTTTCGCAAATAAGGCCGTGTTAGCAGATGCTGGTCTACTACCTCCAAGAGGCCCTAGCCCCTGCGTCCGGTTGTACCATGTTGTACCCAGATGTACCTGACAGCGCCAGAGCATCGGATTGAGCACATTGCACGGACAACAATTCAGCAGGTGGCCCGCAGAAGCGACACGTCCAAAGCTCAGATAACAGATATGATATCAGATATGAAGAGACATGAAGACGTGACCAGAGACATGGGGACCCGTTTGACACGCATGCATTGTTGACTATTGTTGCTCATGCTTAATTATTGTGTATTGTACCATTACATTTTCACGTTCATGGACTCCATGGACTAGTGGATGGATTTCATGTTGCACTTGTCGTGCCACCCCTAGAGTCCTAGAGCCCCCAAACCCTTCCAAGCTGGTTTGAGCTAAGATGCATTTCCCGCCGGCTGGTGGCAAGGCCTAAACGTCCTAAACGTCCTAAACGGCCTTTGTTTCAATTTGTTTCATGGATTTCATGGGCCCTTTTCTGGCCAGCCTCGCAGTCTGGACAGGCCGCTCCGCCCTTTGCAGCCGGCCACCTAGTGCTGATGCTGAGGGTTTTCGGTGCATGGAAAAGCATGGGAACGTATGGGAACTATATTATGTCTTGTCTCTATCAGTGGTGCATTTCTATAGTGTGAGGGTTTCCACTTTAATAGCAGATGATCATAGACTATCACTAGTTGGGCACTTCCATATATATTTTAATAGCAGATGAACAATGAAATCACTGTGTGGGGGTGTCCAACGGGGTACCCCTCCCATAAACAAACCACGAGATGTCAGAAAGGCCGAACCTGTTCGACCAGGCAGCTCCAGCCCCTGCTCCAGCACCTGCCTTTGCAGCAGATTTTTCAGGAGGTGCCATTTCTCGGGAGTTAGCAACCGTAGCTGCTTATAGAAGCCACAGCAGCTGCAGACATTGTGTTGAGATCGGAACGTGCCCATGTTGGGAAAGACTTGCAATGCATGCGGCACGCCGTTTGCTCCGGCGCAGGTTTCCCGCAGTACCTCTGGATCTCGCTAGATGATTCAGCGAGCGTTGTGCAGGAGGGGGTGTCAGATTTCTCACTGGTTTTGGCACTCAGCGTAAATTAAAAGTATGTCAAAAGAAGGAGGATTCAATCCTGGAATTGATTGAAAGAAAAATCTATAGGAATCTATAGGAAACACCTGTACACTGTATTTACATGTAAAATTCATGCTTTACGGTAAAAAATCCCTTAAACCAATCCATTGATTCCAAGGAGTCTGAGAGTCACAGGTAACGTGGCATCAGCAGAGTCAGATGATCCCAGGAGGGAATGCCTGCAGAAGGCCTTTGCGTCTATTACGACAAGCAATGTGCTGCACAACCTCCATGTTTTCAATGGGATAGTGCAGCGGCTCCCTGACAGTCCCTGCAAACGTGCCTAGAAAAAAGTATAAAGACGTTGTGTTTGCATGCGTATCTGTGTGTGTGTGGAACAGCTGAACAGATGTAAAACTTCTATTTCACCTTGGTTTTGTTATTCGTAAAAGCAGGGGGGTGCAGAGCACAGTGGAAACTGCGCCCAACCAAGCTATCCACTTGTGCTGGAAGAAGAGTCTGATCAACTCTGTGCACCTGCTATTCAACTTTCATTTTATTTTCGTGTGGCACGGGGCTAAGCCGGCTAAGCTGAGAACCCCAATATTGATTTATTCAAATTTATTCATTACAGTAGTTTTCCATCGTCATGGCTGAGGGCGAGGCCGAGAACCCTGAGATACTTATTTTCCTGGTCATTGAGTTTGTCAAGTTTGCAACGTTCGTCAAGTTTACATTGATCCGGTATGAACGCCGCAATCTGATCTTACCATGAATTACACTCCGTGGCATTCCATGGCACTATGTTTATTGATTCTATTCATTCATGGGGTCTATGCGAACCAGTTTCTGATCGTGATCTACTTTATCGGAATTCCTTTGTATTAATTGCATGTAGCTTCGAAGAGTTATACCTTAGGTCTCGTATCGTGTCCCATTGCACGTTATGGGATTCAGTTCCCGACGGATCACTCTAATGATCCAGTTCTTTTCTAGTGTGTGCTATGGGCTGGTTTAGCAGCTAACATTGTCTGGTTTTAGTGCAAACTATCTGGGGTGTACTGGATTGTACTGGCCAAAAATTTGGAGAGAGCACTTGGAATTGAACGCCGAAAGCACTTTTGAATCACAACTGCTCGAATACATGGCATTGACAAGACTTGCCGCAACACGCCAAAAGCATCCAAAAGCCTGAAAGCCAAAACTTCGGCCCTTTCAGTGGCCCTCGGAATGCCTTGCCACATGCATTTGTCAATAAAGTTCACTGTCGGTGACGTTGTAACATCGATGTGTTTGTAAGATCGCGGGTGTGCTGAATGCAGGCTGCTTTCTTCGACACTGCCTTTGTTTGACAGGTGACACAAGTTTGAATGCCCAGGAGTATATATGTTATGATTACTGGGAGATTTTCGGAAATTGACATTTCCCTTTCCAGATATCTCAGACTTGTTGAATCTTATTTGGCATCACCCTGGGAAGTACAGAGTACTGTAATTTCAAGCAATGCTAGTTAATTATGTCCTGAGGTGAAACTAGAGCTTGTTCAAGCGGGTTAAGTGAGTTGGTGAGGTAGTGTTTGGAAAGTTTTCGTTTAGTCATGTTTAGTCGAGGTTTCCCCAGGACTGGAAATTTTGAGCTCTTCAAATTCTTTACACTGTTAGAGTGCTACTGCTTATATATTTTTACATTGTTACTGGTTGTGCATGCTGAATGCCTTCGAGCTGCAGCAACATTTGGGGCGATCTGGCATGACAACCTTATCAGATTAGATAGAATTCTCTATCGGGCATGCCAGGAACTGTTCAGAAGTGGCCAATCTGTGCTGCAGGAGGCAAATCACTGAGATACTTTGCTGTTTCAACTGTTGCTTTATGAAGTGTCTCGCTGTCCTCTATGGGTGTGGTTTTGCTCAGTCATGCTGTCATGCTCTTGATTTCTTTACTTGCACTTGCACTTATACTACACAGCGCCCATAATTTGCCAATCACTGTTCTCCAACGCCTGTGGGATCAAGCTGGTGTCCTCAAGATATGTCACCCAATGGTTCTGCAAATTGCGCTCCACAGCGCGAAGATGAGGACGTATTGGTTCGATGCAACAGCTGGGCAGGGGAGAGTAGCTTTGCCAACTGCAAGCCAAACCATTCTCGAGCGCCCAAAGGCGACAATAGCCCCACACAAAGTGATGCAAAATGCTATGGTGGACGCTTTACGTATGGTCAATGGCGGCAATTTTTTGCTCGACAGCCGGAAAAGGGTCTGAGACTGGATGCTAGTGGTCAGGTCATTCAAGAAGGCCATCTTCGAGACTTCTCATGGAACACTTTTGTACAGTTTTTCCGAGCAGAGATCTGGCTCTTAGTATTACTGCATTCGGATGGAGCATCGATGGCGTCAATGGCTTGTCTGTGCCAGGGCTATCAGAAAATCAGCCTTCCATGGCAACACCGCGGAACGCGAAGCGGGGTGTCGAACTGGTTCACCCTGGTGTCAACGGATTCGAAGGCACTAGAGAAGTCGCCAGAGTCAACGCCGGAGCCGACGGAGAAGCAGGAGATACAGGAGATGGGAGTCATGATGGGAGTCTCCCAGCTCGCAGCAAGACTGAGATGCGGCCTGCACCTGGCTGAGGAACTTCTGGATTCCAACGAAATATCTTTGCCAAGGCAATGTTACTCATGGCTGGACCTGCTTTGCAAACAGGAGATGCAAGGTGCGGGCCGTTTTCCAAGCTAGTCAGAATTTTCATGAATGTTCAATGTACTCCAATGTTTTGAATTGTTTCATACTTGTCGAATTCTTAATATATATGTATCAGCTGGTTTCAATGCTCGTGTTCCTTTTGCCCTGTGCTGCATGTTGGTAGCTTCCGTATTTGAGGCGCTTGGCTTTGCGTCGTGTGCATTGGCCGTGATGCAGAAGTCGTCGAGAATTTTGGGGAGGCGGTAGCAGGAGCAGAGCAGGAGCCAAGAGGAACTGTAGGAACTAACATTTCCTCCGACTTACTGTATATATTCCTGTCAAATGATCTACCTATCTACAGTATATCGATCCAGATCTATCTATACCATTCTACTGTATACCGAATTACCAGTAGTACCCGCACGAGGCGGGGCGGAAGTTGCCTTAGGGATATATAAGACCTTTCTCATCTATAGAACTTGCATGCGCCGTGCGCCAGCCAAGCCTGTGCGTGCGTGCATTCTGCGAAAGTGGTGTCCTGTTTCACATGTCACATTTGAAGCTCCACTTCGCACTTCACACTTCTCACTGCACTCTTCGCACTCCACACTACGCACTTCACACTCCACACTTCACACTTCACAGTCCACACTTCACACTGCACTCTTCACACTCCACACTTCATCTCATCTGAGCTCTTCTCACCTTATCCCAGCTCACCTCTTCTCATCTCTTCTCATCTCATCTCTTCTCATATGTCATCTAAGCTTTCATGAATCACTTCCCAGCACTGCTACCAAGGAACTTGCATGCGCTGTGCGCCAGCCAGGCCCGTGCGTGTGTGCTTTGTGCGAAGCTTTGCAGTGTTGTTGTCCAAGAACATGACCTGCGCGCGACCTCTGTGCAATGCAGCGTCAAGCAAACATTTTCCTCACACTTCACATTGCACTCCACACTTCACACTTGCACTTCATCTCAACTCATCTCACCTGAGCTCTTCTCATCTCTTTTCATGTCTTCCCACATGTCAGCTATCTATCTATCTATCTATCTACCTATCTATCTATCTATCCATCCATCCATCTATCCATCTATCCATCTATCATCATCTATCCACCTATCCATCTGTCCATCTATTCTATCTATCTATCTATCTATCCATCTATCTATCTATCTACTTATCTATCTTTCTATCTTTCTATCTTTCTATCCATCTATCTAATCTATCTAATCTATCTAATCTAGCTAATCTAGCTACCCTAGCTAATCTATCTAATTTATCTAATCTATCTAACCTATCTAATCCATCTAATCCATCTAATCTATCTATCTATCTACCTATCTATCTACCTACCTATCTATCTATCTACCTATCTATCTATCTATTTATCTATCTATCAATCTATTTATCTAGCTGTTTCTCTATCTATTTGTCTATCTGTCTATCTGTCTAGCTGTCCATCTATCTATCTATCTGCCTATCTGTCTATCTATCTATCTCTCTACCTATCTACCTGTCTATCTATCTATCTATCTATCTACCTATCTATCTATCCATCCATCCATCCATCTATCCATCTATCCATCTATCTATCCATCTATCTATCTATCTACTTATCTATCTTTCTGTCTTTCTATCTTTCTATCTATCTACCTACCCACCTATCTAATCTATCTAATCCATCTAATCCATCTAATCTATCTATCTATCTATCTACCTATCTATATACCTACCTATCTATCTATCTACCTATCTATCTATCTATCTACCAATCTATCTATCTACCTATCTATCTATCTATCTAGCTATCTGTCTATCTATCGATCGATCGATCTATCTGTCTACCTATCTACCTATCTAGCTACCTGTCTATCTATCTATCTATCGATCGATCTATCTGTCTACCTATCTATCTAGCTATCTATCTATCAATCAATCTACCTATCTATCTATCTACCTATCTATCTATCTGTCTATCTATCTATCTAACTATCTAATCTTTCCAATCTATTTAACCTACCTAATCTACATACATACATGCATACATACGTACGTACATACATACATACGTACATACATATATACATACATACATATTTCTTCCATTTATCTATTCATGTATTGATCTATTTATCATTATTTATCATTTCTCATCTTGTTATCTACCCTGCGATATCGATCTATCTATCTACCTACATATTTTCATATCCCTTTATATATATATATTTACATCTGTATATCTACATATACACACACATATCTACATTCATATATACCTATGTACCTATATTTATTTTTATTTATTTATATTTATTTATATTTATTTATATATTTGTCGAAAATATATGTACGTACGTCCGAATCCATCCATCCATCCATCCATCCATCCATCCATGCTTCCATGCATCCATGCATCCATGCATCCATGCATCCATGCATCCGTGCATCCATGCACCCATGCATGCATGCATGCATACATACATACATGCACGCATGAAATACATGCAGACGACTACACTTGAAGGCACATGAAAAGGAGAAAGGAGTATAAAGAGTCCTTGCATCATGTGATTTAGGTTTCATGTGTCGGTTTTCCATTTTGCTTGTGTTGGCAGCTGTGCCAACCTGAGGAGAGCACAAAGGTAGCCACAGTGGCTTTGCTACCGTCCGCACAGCAGCATGTAACAGCTGGACAGCATGTGTGCATTCGTAAGGCAGGGCTTAGCCTGTTACTGGACTCGCAAAACTTGACGCAGCGGCCTTGGCTGTTACAGGTGTTTTAACGTTCATCAAATGGCTATGGCATGGATCAATACCATTCAATACCAAAAAATACAATTTTACAGGGATGAGCATCTATTTGCCCATTTGCCCATTCCCAAATCTCATCAGTCCCTGGTTCACAGTGGCCCACCTTGACAATGCCCCAGGCCATGAAAATCATCGGCCTGCCACTTCCCCACTTGGGTGGTGCAGACTTTCAGCTCCGTCACTCGGCTGCAACTTGCCGTTCGAGGTTGCTTCGGATATTTGAATGAAATGCTATAGACTTAAACTTAAAAAAATAAAAAAACACATACACCTTCTTTGTTCAATCAGGACCGGATTGCAACGATGTGAATTTATGATCAAAATAGAGAAGCCAACACGCCCAACATAACCCGACCGTGAATCAATTTGTTTTGACTTCCATGCCGTCAACTGAGGCTCACGGTGGCATACCCCAGCAAACCCACCGTGGTCATACAATCAAAAGTCTGGTTGGCGTACCTATGTCCCAACCTTGGGGCTCCAAAGCCTCGAAATCAAGCTTGAGCAGCCTGGTGGATCTTCTGGGTGTGTGGAACTGCAAAACTTTATTCTTTGCGGGATCGGCACACAGCATAGCCGCCCGACAGGTATCAGTGATTGCGTTCTGAGAGTTGCAGCGGGTACATGCTTGCTGGCTGATTGCCAAGTAAGACTGAAAGAGGGCAATGCAGGATTTGGTGTGGTGGTTGGGCCAGACATTCTAGCACCTTTTGGTGGTTCAAACAAGCCGCGCGCCATGCTCAAGAGATCTGAAGTTGTGCATGAACCTTGGTCGCAAGAAGCCTGCGAGAGTAACACCTCAAACTGAAGATCGGCTGCCCCTCATTGTATCATGGTTGAATTAGTTAATTGTCATTCCGGTGACGCTTCTTTCATTTGGCCATTTTCAGTGCTCGGGATCTCCGAGAGCGGTGAGGCTAGCACGTCGTGCCTTTGCTTTATGGGTGGTCAGCTGACAATTGAAGAAGGCTGCTCCCTGCGAGACTGCCACACAGGAATCAGCATTTGTGACCAGGCTTGATGACCAAAGTTGTGTCGAGAGTTTCCTCACGAAGCTAGCTCTGTAAGGCAAGAATGAGAAATTCGCGGAACAACTGACAGTAACCAACACATGCATTGTGGATGTGGGCTCCAAAACACACGACGTAAGGCATTCTAGATCCATACGCAATAATACATATGCAACGCATCATTATTATTCTAGGATCTATTGATTCCTGTTCATATTCGCGGAGATGTGTTGGATCGTGTTGGTCACGCCCAGAGAGAGGGAGAGAGGATAGAGACGGAGGGAGGGAGAGACAGAGAGGGAGATTTGTTGGCTGATGTTATGATATCAAAATCATTTTCCTGGCACATAGGGGTTGCAAATACGAAAGGGCAGAAGTCTTTCAAAATCGAATCGAAACAGCCTTTGCACAGTGGCCACGACAGCCTGGTTTGAATGCGTCTGAAATGGATGAGGAAACTCGTGATAGAGCTTTGGGGGCTCAAAATTCATCTGCTTTCCACAGCATAGGAGAGGAAGGGGCAGGTGCTAAGATCTATTATTGAATTGAGTCTATTAGAAGCAGAATTTTGCCTTTCTGCCTGCATGACTTCGACCTTCCAGGAGGTGCCCCCAGCACCGGTTGTTTGTGACTGCACACTTTCAAACCGTCGCGGCCGGAGGGCTCCATTGCGTTCATCCTGGCGAACATTCGCATGTCGTGCAGGGATGGTGGTCAGAAATTTCTACAGGCACCTGTTGCATCCTTTGGAAAAGTCTTGCATCCTGCTTGCGACAAGCAGTGCGTGTCGCTTCACACTGTTTTTTTGTTGGCCAGGTCTCTGGCGGAATTATCACGGAGATGATGACGGACCGGACCGGCAGACAGACATGAGCCAACGAGCCCTCACATGGCCTCAAATACAGTCCGAAACCTGGAATTCAGTGCCGCAGTTTTTCCAAATGTATTTTTATTTCGTTTCGTGCGTTTTCATGCGTCCTCATGTTGACCGAACCGCAGAGGGTGACAAAGCCAAGGCCAGGCTGGTACAACAGGCAATTTGCAATTCCCTGCGGCTGACGCATGCAACAATTTGAGTGCTGAGGCATGACGACTTTCATCCTGCTCCTACCATTTCCATCCATTTCTTCTCACTTTGTGTGCATAGAAGATCCGGGCCGTCCAGTGAGTACCTTGATTCCTTCTGGATGTCCTACACATCTATTATGGTATTTTGGTCTGACTTGATGTTTGAGCCAAGCCCAGTATAGAACTCCCTGGCTTGCTCCATTTCAACATCCGCTTTGCCAGGCCCAGAGATTTTAATTTGTTTCTTGTTTTGCAAATGAGAAGGCCTCCATCTTCACCACACTTGCACAGTGCGTGTTTTATTGAAACTGGAAATTGCTACAAAAAGATCTCATACAGGCATATACAGGCCACAAAAACTGGCCCCTGGCTGCTAAGCCCAGACATGTTTTGATGAACAGGCTATTAGCTGAGTGAGGCTGGTTCATAGGACCGGCCTTCAATTCATGCCGGAGCTTGCTGTTAGAAGTGTACATTCTCCTGTCCTGGCATGCGAATCCAGAAGACTTGCTCGTGTGGCATTGTTCTTCTCACAAAGACCCGGTGCAAAAAGATCAGCAGCAAAACCAAAAAGGACAGCTGCTTTTGGCAACAACTTGTCCAAGTGAACTTTTGTTCAACATTACGGTTGGCAAGAGAATTTGTCAAGGATATTTGTTCAAGGCGCATGGATGAACAGTCTGTTTTGCTGCCATGTAAGGCAGTCGAAGATGTGAACAGTGAGGTGGTCATCACTCACGACCCTGATTGGGACAGCGCTGTTTCCTGTCTTGCGCTTTTCCTGTGCCGCCTTCGCCATCTTCTGCCACGTTGCTTGCTGACTTTGAACTTGGCCCACCTCACCCAGCCATTACTCTCGTCATCATCCAGTCAAACTCCCTGATCAGCTGAGCAGCCCGAGATTTGAACCACTTGGGAGGACCAAATGCCAGAAATCGCAGAGGCCATCAAGCAAACTGGAGGCGAGGAGATCAGCCCACAGTGCTGTGGGAGCTGATGAGAATCTCTTCATAGTTCGTAAATGTTTAATCATGCTTAAAATATTCTGAATATTCTGATATATTTTTTTTTCTCTCCGCAACAGCGCAAGCTAATAGGGTCTTCAGCCCAGAATAGCTTTGGTGTGCAAACGTGCAGGCGCCCGGTCAGGTTCAATGAGGTTCCGGAGAAGGTTCCAAAGGTTCCAGAGAAGGTCTGGGAGGCTTGGGTGCAGAGCCAGGTCAGGTTGAACAGGGTTCCGGAGAAGGTCTGGGAGGCTTTGGTGCAGAGCCAGGTCAGGTTCAACAGGGTTCCGAAGAAGGTTCCGGAGAAGGTTCCGGAGAAGGTGTGGGAGGCTTTGGTGCAGAGCCAGGTCAGGTTCAACAGGGTTCCGGAGAAGGTTCCGGAGAAGGTTCCAGGAAGCATTGATGCAAAGCCAAGTCAGGTTCAATGCGTTCCGGAGAAGGTTCCGGAGAAGGCCTGAGAGGCTTTGGTGCAGAGCCAGGTCAAGTTCAACAGGGTTTCGGAGAAGGTTCCGGAGAAGGTTTGGGAGGCTTTGGTTCAACAGGGCTCCGGAGAAGAGAAGGTTGAGAAGGAGTGGGAGGCTTTGGTGCAGAGCCAGGTCAGGTTCAACAGGGTTCCGGAGAAGGTTACGGAGAAGGTTCCGGAATGTTCCGGAGAAGGTTCCGGTTGCAGAGAAGGTCTGGGAGAAGGTCTGGGAGGCTTTGGTGCAGAGCCAGGTCAGGTCCAACAGGGTTCCGGAGAAGGTTCCGGAGAAGGTTCCGGAGAAGGCTCCGTGCAGAGCCAGGTCAGGCTCAACAGGGTTCCGGAGAGGGTTCCGGAGAAGGTTCCAGAGAAGGTTCCGGAGAAGGTCTGGGAGGCTTTCAATCAGAGCCAGGTCAGGTTCAACAGGGTTCCGGAGAAGGTTCCGGAGAAGGTTTCAGGAAGCCTTGGTGCAAAGCCAAGTCAGGTTCAACGGGTTCCGGAGAAGGTTGCAGAAGCCAAGCCAGGTCAGGTTCATTTAGCTCACGGAAACCCAACTGAGGTGTTTCCAGCGCTTGGCTTCCCAGCACGCCTCAGAAAGATTTGTAAAGATAAAGCGTTGCGGCTGTTGGGGATACCACCGAAACTTATCTTTTTTATTACTGTAATCCTTTCTCCACCTCCCCGGGAGAAAAGAAAAAACAACAAACTGGAGGCGAGGAGAACTGCTACGCTGCCGCCGCCTGAGCTAGGATTCTGTTCTTAAACGCTTCGGTGGAAGACGTCCCAGGAGTGCTTAACATTTGTTTGCACGTGTTTGCTTCCTGAGGTTGGAACTCTTCCCTCCCATGTTCCATGCTTATGGGAGTCTGGGAGGAGAAGGGTGCACCAAGCATTTCGCATTTTGGCACAAGATGGTATGAGCATGTATGAGCATTTCTTTGCACAAGGGCTTGTGGGCTGTGGGCCTTGCTGGTGGTTGGAAGTTTCGAGAGTTGTATCCCCAGTGCATCGCTGTTGGGTCCGGTGGTGCTCGAAACTCATGTCAAGGCATCTCACAAGACTAGCAAACTGCAAGATTTCGGTCAAATGTTTCAATTCGTGTTGCGTTTGTTGTTTCACTTTGCCGAGGTCAGCTTGCAAATTAGCGCTCAGCCGCAGCCCCAGCAAGCTGTAGCGGCGTGGCGTAGCGCGAAGAGTGTGCAGCTTGCATCGATAGCTTTGCGTGTTTGGCTAGTGGCTTTCCGTGGGCTCCAAGGCATTGCCCTGGTGGCAACCACGGGGGAGATCGACCGGTTTGCGAGCTCGCCAGAAGCTCAGAGCTGTTGGTCTTCCGCTGTCCATCTTGAAACAGAATTCGACGGATTAATTTCTTGGAGCCAATTTCATCCGTCATCATTTCATCCACCACCATTTGCGCAAGATATTCACATGCGAACAGGATAGGCTAGAAAAGATTGGATTATATTCGATGTCTTCAAGCAATTAGATTATTAGTGACTCTGACTGTGACTATTAGCGTAGGTTGGATGGTTTGCGACAGTGCCTCACCCATTTTGTACATCCCAGTCTTCCGAACTTCCCCCCTTAAGTTTTTCATGTGACTTTAAGTCCACCTGGCAACCCTTGCCTGCCCGAAGATGCAGATAGAATGTAGATGTAGATGTAGAATGTAGATGCAGATGTAGATAAAATGTAGATGTAGATGTAGAGATCTATTTGGGGCAGGCACCCCGACTTTGCTGCCTTCTGCAATGCAGCTGGCACACCTGGAGTTTGGCCCTTAGATGCGAATGCGCTTCGTTGCCATGCAGCATGCGCTGGTGATGTAGCCGTGATCCCATCCAAACCACCCGAGGCAGCTTCCTTTGAGCCGGTCCTGCACTGAGACCTGTGAGTTGCGTTTAGGTTCTGTATTGGAACTTGGAACCAGGGCTCGCTGAAAGCCTCCGTCAGGCTCCCAAGAGAGCGAAGGCAGCCGTAGTTGGAGCTTGGCCTGATAGTCGATTAAATGAAAGGTTAAGGGATGTTAAGGGTTTCATTTTTGCTGCAATGCCGGAGTGATGTGAAAAGACACTTTTTTCTTGCCTTTGATGGACTACTGGCTGTCGTAGTCTTGTCACCAGTGTCTTGGTCTTGTCACCAGCGTGTAGTCCAGGGCTAGCAGCTAGCCTGGGAGGTCGAAGCAACCAAGACGACGCTCCCGCCAGCGAAAGGACCGCAATTTTCCTGTGGAATGTGGAATGTGAGAGGCTCCATCTCTGACCTTCACAGGAAAATTTGCAATGGATGAGAGATATGACAGCAGATCTGGCAAAGGGGGAGGAGGAGGCGGAGGAGGAGGCAACTTGGCTTATAGGAGAACAAACACAGTTCAAAGCTGAAAGCGATATTGAAAAATGCAAAAATCTCTAGAATCTGGAACCACATCTAACCTTGAACTGAGGAGCTGCCCCTTCACAGGCGAAGGACTGGGGCTGTTCGACAGACTTAGATTCAGGATGTTAATTGCTGACAGGTGGGCCTCGAGGCGTTCAAACAGAATCAGATATGTTGGCCACTTGCTCCTGCAGGGAAATGGCAAAAAAGGCGGCCCTTTCGCGGGCAAGAAGTTTGAGACTCAGGTCAACAAATTGAGCTGAGAGCTAAAAGTGCCCGATGAGAGTAGCACGCTCCCCACCTCCGAATTTGAGAATCACCCAGGTATGCTAAGCCCCTGCCCAGAGTTTTGAGCCTAGTCATTCGAGCGCTGCTCAAAGCGTCTGCTCTCAGAAGCACTTCTGCTCTTGTCATGCCTTGTCCAGTTGGTCTACTGAGAGCAGAATTCTCCAGACTCGTGATGCGATTGGCATAGCTTCCGAGGACTCGCCCATTTGGGTGCAGCTTTCCCAGGACCTTATGCCCGAAGCAGCTCAATATATATTCATGCATTGAGCTTGGCACTCTTTGGGTGTGCATGTATCATCTTTAAGTGAGCCAATGAATGCAATCATTTTGGCTCAAGTTGGAGTTGAACCAAAATAGCATTCATTGCTTTTCTTTCTTAGGTCTAAGGGGGGGCCTTCATTCCAGGGGTGACCTGGTGGGCCGCGAGGGGTGACCTCGTATGCTGCGTAAGCCCCCTCGGGACCCACATCTGAGGCCAACATCCTCCACGCAGCAGCGTTCCTGGAGTTCAAGCAGCATTTGGAGAGGCTGGCAAGGGAGGGCCACGACTTGGCCGCATACACGTGTTGGATGCACGCAGTTGAGATTAGGCACTCCCCCTTTGCCATCCCCACAGCCAGTCAGTCAATCTGAACTGCTCCCTCCTTTGGTCAAGATGCTTTGCTGCAAGAGTGGTTGCCAGCGTTGCGCAGCACACCTTGGAAGGTTCAAGTTCCCCTGGCTGTCATCATTCCACCCGATGTGCGGCCTGGGGACGCTATGGGACGCTTGGACCTACTATGAGCATCAGGAGAAGATGGACCTCCTTCTTCTGGCAGCCTGGCTGTTCGAAGCCTGGCGCGAGCAGTGTTTCCTAGAGCGGGGATTCCGCATCGAGCTTGGTGCGAGATCAGGTGGCGGGTCTGGCAGGCCATCATGTGGCTGATGATTGGCCGCAGACCAGGGCACGAGTCGAAGAGAGCCTTCAACAATTTGGCCGGGCCTGTGGAGGGAAGCATGGGGCAGGTGTCTGTCACATCAAGAGGGCGGAAGGCAGCTACCCCAGTACCAGTGGCTCCGGAACCTTCAGGCACGCTGATCCCTGCTGCCACTGAAGACAGGGCGCAGTTCACCAGAAAGAGGGCTGCCGACAGCGCCGCTGACGAGGTGATGCGTGTAGCCACAAAGAAGGCGAAGATGGTGGCTGCCCTCAAGACCGCCTAAGGCAATGCCGAAGACACCTCCGAAGGCACCACCGAAAGCAGCTCCCCCACCAAGGCAGACCCGGATGGAAAGCCGCAGAGCAAAGCGGCTGCAGTCGCCAAGGCCTCCTTTGGAGGTGGAAGTGCTCAACTAGATCCTCACATGGAGAGGTTGGGAGTCCGGCACAGCCCAGGCCCCAACCTGTGTGTGGACCTCCCGCAAGGGTAGATCTACTTGGCAGACGC